AGGGGAAGGGACGAAATATCCAGCAGATTTAATAAAGTATCGACGGGTTCTTGGTGGACGGCGAGTAAATAATATAAGCTCATGTGATGACCTGAAAGTGCTCTACATCCATCTTCCGCTTCCGTCAAAAGGTAAGAGACGCGGCTCTAGAATAGGTGTGGTTTATGTCAGAATTGCGCGAACAAATGATAGATACAATTATATCCTTACATTGCTCTTATAAGCACTTATACTAAAATGAGAGAAGTTCCCAGAATACACAAACGTACATCAATAGCCAATTACCGAAAAGAAGAGAGACTTATATGGTGATATTGAATTCCCTGGATATGAACACATGTAATTTGAGACACGTACTTACTCGTATTTAGTTTACTCGCGCCATCTGCTTGTCTGTAAATTTAATGTCGTTGAATGAGAATTTGAGATTAATAATGTTATCGTACAATACATTTATATAATCTTTACCTATTGTGTGCAACAATATTGTTTCCCCGTACCATTTTCTTCCATTATTATTAAAAAAAACACCTAAAATATAATAGATACTGTTCTTAATGCATTTGACTAATATTCGTATAAAATTTTAATTACATAAATGTAATCTTCAAAGCATTGTCATAATACTTTGCATAAAATTTTCCGATTATCTTTAAAGGGTCGCTGCTTCACACGTTACTTTTTTGGTAAATTTGATATTCAACAACCTGTGCTGTACACAGAGCGGCATAGGGTTCGTGTTCTTGACCTTGTACCTACTCAGTAAGTATACCAAATATTCTTTTGTAAAAAATCTTTTATTTACTTTTACTTCAATGTAGATCGTTTCCACAAACGTAACAACTTACAATAAATACTACGATGGCGTTTACTAACGAAGACAAGGCAGAAAAACATAATCTGTAAGAGTTTTATATTCATTAACTGATTCCCAATGACGATTGATGTGCTATCTTGGTCAACTGATCTTTACATAGGGCGCACTATAAGTTTCCGGAACTGATCACTTACATAAACAATATTTAAAAAGTAATTACAACATTTGAAAATGGAACTCTTTGGCTGTATAATACAGTTTGTTTCATATGATTATCACATGTTTTTACATTGTGACGTCATTTTAGAAATTGGTTGTCTACATCCCCATGGATTTAATTCGTGAAAATTTTCGTAGTATGATTTTCTACGACTTTAAGTGTAATTTAACAGCTCAGCGGAGCTTCGCTCTGCTTCAAATTGCTTTTGGCGATGAAGCACCATGCAAGACGACTATTTATAGCTGGTTTGCAGAATTCAAACGCGGTCGTGTGAATCTCAGTGACGAATTTCGTGATGGTCGCCCGTCCGCTGCTGTGAACAACAAAAACATCGATACTGTGCGCCGTATGATCTAAAGAGACAGGCATGTGACATACCACGAGACTCGGGCATCTTTAAGCATAGGCATGAGTCAAATACAATCAACATAAACATTTGGGTGTGAAAAGGCTGTGCTCTCGGTGGATCCCACACAATTTGACTGAGGCTCGAAAAACGAATCGCGTCACTTGGTGCAATGTCATGCCTACCAGATTCAACGAAGGGGCGTCAAATTTGATGTGGGACATAGCAACAGGTGACGAAACATGGATTTATAGTTACGATCCCAAAACAAAGCAGCAATCGAGCGTATGCTGTACAATGTATGTTAGAGCGTGCGTAAAGTGGCGCGCGTGCAAAGTGCCTCTAAGCGGATGATTGCTTCTTTTTTTAATAAAACTGGACACGTGGCTATTGTTGCTTTGGAGAATCGTTGTACCGTGAATAGTGATTGGTACACGACCATTTGTTTGCCGGAAGTTACTGACAAACTCCGTAAAAATAACCATAAACGCCATATAATCTTGCCACGATAATGCCAGTTCTCATACGACCAGACAGACAAATGAATTTTTGAAGGTGAACAACGTTGACCTTGTGAGCCATCCCGCGTACAGTCCCGACCAGACACCTTGTGACTTTTATTTATTTCCAAAAATTAAGACCAGTTACGCGGTCAACGATTTTTATCACCTGAAGAGGCTGTCGAAGAGTATGAAATATATGTTTTAGAGAATGTCACGGAGGAGTAGCATAAATGTTTCCAAAATTAGTTCGTTCGTTTGAAAAAGTGCATTAACGCTAACGGAGAATATTTTGAGAAACAATAAATTCACTTCATTTATAGTATTTTTTCTTATTCATTCCGGAAACTTATAGTTCACCCCACGTATCAATCAAGAATAATTATGTTTTTTTAATTTTTATTGTAAACTAAGTGTAACGTATTAATAAATACCAAGAAGTAAGTTAATATTTCCTACCGTTTCTTATAATAAGTATAAGAAAAGTTGTAACTCGTGAAAATATAAAAATAGTCATGGACGGTATTGTAAGCGAATATTAAGTTCGGGATAAATAGACGCGTCGAGAGTGCGGAGCGAAGTCCGCGAGGAGGTCACCGCCAGTAGGACCGGCTCGCGGCGGCGGCAGCGGGAGCACGTGAGCTCGGCACCGGGGACCATTCATGTTCGAGGGCGGCGGCTTGCGCGCGCAGCGATCAATACGGCGACGCGGCGGGCAGTACCCGGCCCGCCGCGCGACCTTTCGCACGCGCCCCCAGCCCTGTTGTGTGCCGCGCCGCCCGCGCCGCACCGTGCCGCTCCAAACCGCGCGCCCTCGCTGCCCCATGACCGCCCTCCACAGATGACGGAGTCCGCCCGCACCCTACAAGAACGTCGCTCCGACCCCGCTGCCAGCACGCTCGTACGCGAGTCGATACTCTGCTCGCGTTCAAAACGCGCGACGACAAGGTATGAAAATCGATACCATGGCCAGCACTGCAGATTTACGCTGATAGGGGCTGAAGTCCTGTATCAGCTGCTAACTTAAACCACGCGGACCGTCTTTGCCATGAAAGTCACGTGACTTTGACCAAATTTAATACCGCGATTATACAGATTAACAGATGATTGATTCGTGATTGATTAAAAACCCTTTGAAGGGGTTATTTGATAATGCAATCATTTTAATGGAAAAAAGCACAAAATCGAATTGATTTTTGTTGCTTTCCCAAACATTTATCAATTAAATAAGTCTTTTTAGTGACAGCTTTCTGTTTTAATCGTTTTGCTTATCAAAATCCTGCACAGTGTCAAGTTATGTTACTGCAACTGGCAGGTATTTTCCCTGCTCTAAAGATGTGTAGGAAAAATCATGTCAGTTACGATAATATTTTCGATAAAATAAACATTTCTCAGAAACTGCAGTCTAGTTTTTCTTGTGCATAAAAAGGAAGGAAGAGAAGTAAATTATTTATATATATTACAAATTTTAGCACGTGATTTACTAAGACATGTTGAGATCCTATCAGTGCATCGGATGAGATTTGGTGCAAAACAACCACCAGTGTTAAAAGTCAAAAATGGACAACCGAAGTCATGTATCACTGCGAAATGTTTGTAACATTTCGTATGTTTAAATTTCTAACTTTGACTACGTGTGGAGAGCTCCCTTAATCGTATTTTCAGTTTTCTTCCATGCTCAAATAAGTTTTCTGCAAGATCTTATTCTGTTCATATTTATAAGTAACGAAACGACATAAGAGCGATCTCTAAAGGAAAACACAAGAACAAAAATTATAATAAATTCTTTTCTTTTATTTTAAATACTGAAATAATTTCTCGTAAACATCTATCAAAAATTTCAGAGGTAAAATTATTATTGAAAGATCTGAGTACGTACCTGCTTACTCTCATAATCTATATACAATGAGACATTGATAAGCTAATTTAGGTAATTTATACAATAGTTTATAAAAAAGATATCTGCGTTTATACGCTATAACTATTCCCGAGAGCACGTGTACAATAGACATTACACAAGCTCGCGATTTTTCCGCAAAACTACAAGGCCGCTGGTGTGGATTAAAATTAACTGACCCTGCCCACTAAACGCATATATCTTGTTTATGTATTTTGTAGACTGCAAAGTGATGCGTAAAGTTTACATTCGTACGTTCGTTAAAGAACTTTCTTTAAAGTTCTTCAAAAACACGTCTTCACGTTTCATATTTTAAATTAATAAAAACAAGAATAGAAAATAATTTTTACAGTTGTGTTACAACACTAAAGTTGAATACGAGTATATTATAATTTGATATATATTAGTAGTACTTTCATAGTTAAGTTCGTACAAACATTGTATTGTATGTATTATGTTGTAATATAGAAGTTTCAAATCATCATCACCTCGGCAACCCCAATAACTACCGACGACAGGCACAAGAATTTCGTGACGTATAAAAGACTTAAACACATGATCCTTTTCCCTCGGAGAAACAAATTCCGTTGTTACAGCAGTAATGTCCATTAGACTTGTTACAGCAGTAATGTCCATTAGACTTAAGGCAAGCAGATTGCGGTTCGACATCACAGCCATTAAGTAGCTTATATGAGCCCGAGTATACTTACTGCAAAAATCGATAAAATTATTACTCGGTAAGTACAGCGAGTCTGAAACAGTAAGTAAGCCCCAGGTAGGAAAGGGAAGGGCCGCCACATCGCAGTGCAGTGTAATTACCCACCGTTTTCTACGTAAAAATAGTAAATAGACGGTGAGTCTAAGGCCATAAACTTTCTAAACGTTTTCCTATTACCTTTTACAAAACCAAATCATCTAATTAATAAATTCACAGGAAAATTCATTGACTTACATTTAATGTTTGTTTTAATTGACTATACAGCGTGGAGCCGTATTTTAAATAGAGATGGGTTCGTTACATCGCTCGTCGGCACTCCAATAGCTGCGGTTTAGTGCGGGTTGGAATTAGAAGCCACGTCGTGATTGATTGGCGAGGTCGGATTAGCTTAATTTATGAACAGATTATTAGTCAGGCTTACGGGTGGAGCGGGAAATGTAAAATGTATTTATGTCGTCACCTGGGATATAGAAGTTGTAACACAAAGTTTGTGTTGTCCTAGGTGATGCATCAACAATGAGTCGCCGCGCGCGGCCGTGACATGGGAGCGCAGGCATGGGCTGGCGCGCCGTGCAATCGCCGCACATCGCCGCCGGCTTGCTTCTACTGCTGCTAGTTTACTTGCCAGGTAGTATTGCACCAATTGTGGTCAAAACAACGTACTCTGCCAAATTGTTCAAAAAATAACTCCGGTAACATTGCTATGTATTATGACAGTAACTTGCCATCAAGACCACCAAGATGCTGTGCACATCACGGCGATCCTTGGCGAGAGCGTCGTCTTTAACTGTCAGGTGGACTTCCCGGAAGATATCCCGGTGCCGTACGTCTTGCAGTGGGAGAAGAAGGTAGGCGAAACGGTACGACGACCCACACTCCACTCTTACAATACAACGCTGCTCATCTACCGTGTGTGTGTTTCTGTTCAGTAGAGATTTGAGGACGGCCCGTCCCCACGAGACGCGCCCGCAGACTGTAAAGTATACATTATGATGCCTGTGTCGACAACGACACCTCTTATTGTCCCGTGCTAGTGGTAATGCGAGTGGCGCGGGCCGGGGGCGCGCGGACGTTGTCCGACGCTCTCGCCCCGCGTACGCTTGGCTCGCCTTTTGTGTATCTCTGCCTCTTCTGCGTATTGCCTCGTTCCTACCGCGCTCGTCGTCCCACCGACCGGTCGACTTACACCACAGTGACAAAGGCCTTCAAAGCGAGTCCGAGAGAGCAGCAGACCCCCGTTAAATACGAACATACACATACACTGCCACTTGACATGTAATATATATAAGACTACTTCTACGTATTTTTCTTTGTTGGGCGCACCAATTTCTAAGATATTATCGGGAGCACTTTGCTGCTTACACGGCTGACACGGGGCACTGCACTCCCTCGCGCACTGGCGGCGGTTCTGTCTGTTTCTCTCTTCCTGTGGCTGTGGGCTAATCCCACGCTCTGCAAACGTAGATTCATGTACTTATCTACCAGTACTTTACATAATATATATATTTTGTACCTATGCCAGTATCAAAGTAAGAAAACATCTATGTATCTATCTCTCATAACTATTGCATGCTTTAGATGGTAGAGTTTCATAATCCATGCATCTTTCGTGTATTCTTTTTTTGCATGCTCTTTAAAAATGTAAATATATTTAAATGCAATAAAATTAAAACTAATCTAAAAAACCACCACCATTGTCATAAACATTTTAAATAATTATAAAGTAAATCTTAAAATCAAATAACATAATATTTTTACGTATTCAAGAACATCGAGGAAAATGGGTGCTCACATAAAATCCATTCTTGCATGTTTTGTAGAAATTTTTCAGTAGATAGTTGTTTCTTGTAACAGTAAACCTAATTTATCTATTCTATCAAGTTATAAACACACTGAACAACTCTTTACTGTTACGAGATGCAAACCTCTGATCCTGTCTGAATGTTCGTGCTGGTGTAATGTGCATCGTACTGTGTCCAGAGTGTCACAGAGTTGGACCCGTTCGTAGTAGTGCTGAAAGAGTCAGTCGTGTAGTTGTTTACCGTAACCTTAGTTGTTGTCCGCGCCAGGCTGTCCCTGCGAGCCTAACGGTTGCTATGGTGTGTAGGGACAGGACATCCCAATCTACATCTGGTACGAGAACTACCCGACCCATAGCGGTGAAGGTTACGAGGGCAGAGTGTCGCGCGTCGCGCTCGACTCACCATATGGCGCCGCCAGTCTCAACCTCACCAACATCCGCGAGTCTGACCAGGTATGTCCACAAAACATTTCACATCAAATTACGCGAAAGATATTTATAGTATGTCTAAGTAAAACAAAACAAGTCAACTCCTCTAAAATGGCATGGACATCATAACCGAATAAGAATCTATTTTTCTTAATATTATTGTACTACTTTTAGTAGCAGTAGAGCCCCTTGTGAAAGAGTTCGTCCAAGGAAGTACAGTGTACCTTACCTATTTCTGCCGCCAAGCAGTAATGTGAGCATTCTGCATTCCGGTTTGGAAGGGTAAGGGTGTTGGTGAAACTACAACAACAAGTGACAAGCACAGTGGCAGTGCCCTAAGATCTTTGCAATTAAAAGCTCTTAGTGGCATTGCAACTGTTATGGATAGGCGTGTTGCTTACCATCAGGCGCACGACTCATTCCTCCCGTCACTTAATATTATGAAAAAAGACTACCTTGAATATGAATGTTTGTAACTAGCGAAAATTACGGAATTATACTAGTGATTCGGTTCTTTAACATTTTCATACAGCACTAAGAATATAATTTATATCTAAATAATATTGATACCTAATATAGCCGGGGATGTCCATGCAATTTTACAGTCGATAATACAAATTGAGTACGGTCTAAATTTATAATTATTTTCATAGGGTTGGTACGAGTGTAAGGTGGTTTTCCTCAACCGCTCTCCGAATCAGCACAAGAACGGAACGTGGTTCCATCTCGACGTGCACGCGCCACCGCGCTTCTCCATCACACCGGAAGACATTATTTACGTTAATTTAGGTAATATTTGTAAAGCATAATAAATACCTATCGTAGCGTCTCTGATTATGAACTTCGATATCTTAACTTTAATCATCTAAAATTATCGTAGGAGATGCGATCATCCTTAACTGCCAGGCGGAGGGTACGCCCACTCCCGAAATATTATGGTATAAGGACGCAAACCCCGTGGAGCCCTCAGGCACAGTGGGCATCTTTAATGACGGCACGGAGCTGCGCATCAGCAACATCCGGCACGAGGACATTGGCGACTATACGTGCATCGCGCGCAACGGCGAAGGGCAAGTGTCGCACACCGCACGCGTCATCATTGCCGGTGGCGCTGTCATCACTGTAAGTTACACCAACAACATCTTGTGACGTCTACAGTTTGAACATTGCGTAGTAATGTTGCGGTTTACGTTTTAGATGCCTCCTACGAACCAAACAAAATTAGAAGGAGAGAAAGTCCAATTTTCTTGTGAAGCAAAAGCTTTACCAGGAAACGTAACAGTAAAATGGTTCCGCGAGGGCGCGCCGGTAGCAGAGGTGGCAGCATTGGAAACAAGAGTCAATATACGCCGTGATGGCGCGCTGGTTATCAACCCAGTGGCTGCCGATGACTCCGGACAGTACCTTTGCGAAGTCTCCAACGGCATTGGAGACCCGCAAAGCGCTTCTGCTTATCTCAATGTTGAATGTAAGCAAGTTTCTCATTTTTGATATGTGGCAAATATTATTTCCATTAGATTGCTCTAAGCTTCATTGGGATTAGTACCAACTTATTTTCTAAAAGTATCTTTTGTTAACAGATCCAGCCAAAGTAACGTTCACGCCAACAGTGCAGTACCTTCCATTTCGGCTAGCGGGCGTGGTGCAGTGCTACATAAAAGCGAACCCGCCGCTCCAATACGTAACCTGGACCAAGGATAAGCGACTTCTGGAGCCCTATCAGACGAAGGACATTGTTATTATGAACAATGGATCTCTCTTGTTTACGCGGGTCAACCAAAATCATCAGGGACGCTATACTTGTACACCATACAACGCTCAGGGCACCCAGGGTTCTTCAGGTACTCACATACATTGAATCTGAAATAATGATTTATTTTAAATTGTACTTTTATTGCAAAAGGTTATTTTATGTCATTTTAATAATATCTCTTTGCGTTCAGGTCCTATGGAAGTACTAGTTCGAAAGCCGCCAGCGTTCACTGTGGAACCAGAACCTTTATACCAGAGAAAGGTTAGTGGCGAAATTTATATGGTGAAATTACAGGCACATGGAACTTGTTACCTTATGTCTCAGGTGATGGGCGCAGTGGTAGTGCCCCTCAGATCTTTGCGATTTAAAGCTCTGAGAGGACTGCAACTGCTATGAACAGGCGTGTAGCTTGCCATCAGGCGCACGACTTATCCGTCCCGTCACTTGATATTGTAAAAAAAATATACACACCAACCATCTGAGGATGATTTTTTTTTTATAGATTATAAGTGCGCATTTGACCTCCATCTCACCTGATGGAAAGTGACGATGAGGTCGACGATGGAGCATACACACCTAAATAATGCCTATTCACTCTCGCCTTGAAAAGGCCCAAGTTATAACGTTCAGGGAACAAGTCTACAGGCAGGGAATTCCACTCCATAGCCGTTCGCCATATAAATAACGCTTCGTGCGAATCTTTGAAATATCCTTAACATAGGGGTGGAACCCAAGCCTGCGCCTAGTCCCCCAGTGATGGAAAGGGGAAGGCGGAATTAAATCTTGTAATTCAATCGCACACTCTACGTGATATATCCTATAAAATACTGATAAGCAGGCAACTTTGCGGCGGTGTTCAAGGCTCTGCAGCTTTGCCTCCACTAATTCCGAGCCACCTATAAGCCTCTTGTCATGATTGTCACTTGAATCCAAAGTGGCTAGTTGGTATGTAGCAGAGCCATCGCAAAGGTGGCACCAGTACTCCATGCACGACCGGACTTGTGCTTGGTACAGCTGAAGCAACTGTCCCAGTGTAAAGTAACGCCTCACCCTGGAAAGGATGCCAAGCTTCCTTGCTGCATTTTTGGCCATAGATTCAATGTATCTGCCGAAGTTCAAATTGGACGACAGGTCCATTCCAAGTAGCTGGAGACAGTCGGCTATCGGTATAGATATATCATGAAAAGTCGGCGTCAGCTCAAAGGGACTACGTTTTGTTGAGAATAGACACGCCTGCGTTTTGGTAGCGTTAAATTTGACAAGATTGCCATCGCCCCTATAGGAGACTGCCTTGAGCGTCAAATCCAAACAGCTAACCATGGACTCTCGACAAGACTGTATTTCCTCTCCACTGACCCTCGCATTGGTCAAGTACCTACCTACAACTGTGCTGTCATCAGTATTCCCAAACGTACCTGGAATTAACATATCATTGATATGCAGCAGAAAGAGAGTTGCAGACAATACGGAACCCTGAGGAACTCCGGCTATCTATCTATCGCCATATGTTCGGAAGAGTGGCCTTCTAAGTCCTCTCGAATCGAACGTTTGCTCCGAGAGAAATCCGAGATCCAATGGCAAAGGATTTAACATAAATAGGTATACGTAATGTATGAATGTATCCTGTATGGTTCACAGGTGGGGGAATCCGTAGAGATGCACTGTGAGGCACAAGAGGCGGAGGGCACGCAGCGGCCGAGCGTGACGTGGCGGCGACGCGACGGATTGCCTTTACAGAAGAACCGCGTGCGAGCACTCGGCGGGAACATCACGATTGACACGCTACGACGACAAGACTTCGGCATCTACCAGTGCGTTGCCGCTAACGAGGTCAGCAATTCAAATTACTTATATTTCTGTTAGTAGGAAAGTAATAGTGAAATACTACATTCTCCTAAAATAGTAATCACAGAGCATTAAAAAAAAAGACATCAAAATCTCGTGGAATTACATCTATTTGCCAAGTTTCATTGAAATCGATTACCGGAAAGGTCGCGAAACTGGATTCAACCCGTAGTTTGCAACCCATAGGGGTGAAATATTTTCTTCAAATTGAAATGAGACCACTACTGAGGTACCCTCTTTCCAACAAAAAAAAAAGAATTATTAAAATCGGATCACAAATGCGTGAGTTATCGCGTAACATAGGTACGTACAAAAAAATACAGTCGCAGTGAGAACCTCTTTTTTTTTAATTCGGTTAAAAATATAAAGTAAACGTTAGTATTGTAATCATTGGAACAAAATAGCTAACAATGTAATATTAAATATGTTTTAAAAAACTTATAAATCGACGCCTGTAGCATTTTGCAGTTTCAAACATGTAATAATAAAAATATCAACACAAATAACGTGTCTATTGCCTATCCAGGTTGCAACAATAGTAGCGGACACGCAGCTTGTTATCGAGGGTACACAGCCACACGCGCCCTATAACGTCACTGGCACGGCGACTGAGTTCCAAGTGACGTTGCGGTGGCACCCAGGGTACGCGGGCGGACCGGACTACAAACAAGATTATACAATTTGGTACAGGGAAGCCGGCTTCTCCGAGTGGATTAAAGTACCCGTCACTCCTTCTGGTGCTACTTCTGTGAGTACCTATACTCATAACACCGGTAGCTATCGAAATATTATCCTAGTGAACGTAAGGTTGTCAATAAAATAAAACAATGAGGCTATTTTGTCCTTTTTATTTTTTCTAAATTATCGAATAAACATTTTTCTCTTTGACCTCAAAATGAGCTACAATCGTCACCTTAACTTCTTCATAGTCTGATAGATTTTTCCCTTTGTAATTCTTTATTCAAATTTGGGAATAGATAATAACACACACACTAATAACACACACACTCAACATAGCCCCGCACTAGGGAAACCCTGTGTCGCGGGTGCCATGGACACACATATAGACAACCACAAATTACACCCAAACTCACGAGAGAAACAAATGTAGGTCATACAAATATTTCTCCCGGCCCGGGAATCGAACCTGGGACCTCTGCGTGGCAGTCCGGCATGGTAACCGTTAGGCCACAGAGGCAGTTAAATAATAAATCGCTGGGGGCTAGGTCCTGTATGTAAGGTGAGTGGATCAACGATTTAAAGCCACATTGTGTAGAGCAGCAACAATACTGTCGTGAATCGGCGTGTGGTCTTGCAAAAGCAATAAACGTTTTGTCAATTTTACCCGCCTTTTTTTGGATGGATCAGTGTCTCTAAATATTTTCACATAATATTCTCCGGCTATATTGACCCCCTTTTCTTTGTAGTAGTTCTACAAAATTCCCATCTAATCCCAAAATACCGTATACAAGGTTATTTCGGCCGTTTCCGATATCTTAAACTTCTTAGAGGATGGTATTCTTCTTACGCCACAACATCAACTCCTATTTTGATTCATCGTCAATAACAATTTACTCCTAAACTGGGGTATTTTCTCAAGACATATTTTCAAAAAGCCCTTTTATGCTTCCATTCTTTATTGCTTTGCTCTTTTATCACACTAAAATGGTCTTATAAGATCTAAAACTACCAAAATAGACTCGTAGGATCCTTAAAATGGTGGTGTCTGATAGGTACTCGCACTAGTGCCAGTAGTTTCACCTTCAGATGGGCATCTTACAACGATGTCTGATGTGGTCACCTCTACTGGCCCTTCTGGGCGGAGATCGCCTTCAATCAATTCTTTGCCACGTTTGAAAAGACCACGCCACTTAAAAAATCATTGTTTTACCAGGTCACTGATCTATGAACGACTTCCAACTCATTTATTACAATCCAAGGAAGTTTTCCTTTCTTGGTAAGGATTTTGATAAAAGCTCTAAACTCGTTTACTCTATAATTGTAATTTTCTTTCGGATTTACTTGCTTGTGGGGCGATATCTCGTAAACAAATGACGTCAAAGGTTTCAAGCTTAACATAATGTATATAGCCTTAATGAGTACCTGAGTAGTACCAAATCAAACATTATACTTACCTGTCAACATTCTGTGGACTGTGGGACCTCCCTTCGCACATAAATCATTTACAGCAACCATGCAATTTAGCTCTTTATGGAATTGTTGTTCATTTTTAGTCCCACTGTAATAGATGTAAATGAGTACACTACATGCAAATACATTAATAGTATACTGCGTAGTTTATCTCAGATCTTAAACTTTCTCGAAACAATAGACGAAATAGAAACAATAAAATAAAATTATAAATAGGCTCAGTTAAAACCAAATCAAGATCAAAAACATAAATTTTTTTATATGTAGTAATCTGAAGGACATAGTTAGTATTGTGTACTGAATGTAAATAACAATGCATGTTATTTATTTTGGACATGGTATCGTGCAGATCGCTTGAGATCAGGCGAAAATTGGCCCTTCTAAAATATATATTTTAACCTAATAAGAGGATATATAATTAACCCTCCTTTTTAGCCTCAAATTCCTTTTTTTATCCCGCCAACATCACGTTACGTCCTTCGTCAGCGCAAATACCCTTTGTTCAACTTCATTTCACCCGAACATTGATTCTAAGACCGACAGCATTCTTCGAAGCCCAAGCCGTAATCGAATCCCTAAAATAGACAAATTATATTGACTTGTTCCGCAACACTGAATCAAAATTTCTAACATCCGCTGGTTACTATTTGGAGACGGTCACAGCCCAAAGCTCTGTGGTCCAAATTCCATATCTTACCTTTGGCCGGTGATCGATTCAACCTTTATGTGACTATGACTTACTGTTTAGTTATAAGTACTGTAAGTGTAAGTTGTACAAAATAAATAAATGTGTTCTTCTTAGGTAACAATAAATCGTCTACAGCCGGGGACGACGTATGAATTTCAAGTGAACAGCAAAAACACGATTGGTGAAGGAATGATGAGTAAAGCGATTACCATTAGGACACTCGGTAAGCAGCAAACTATAACAAAAGGGTGTGAGGTTACTAATAAATTAACAGTTTAGTTAGTAGAGTAACATTTTTTGTCAATGAGTAATAATACATTCTACTTCAATATCTTACTTATTGGTATCTGTACTGTATTATATATTCATATAATTTAGGTATGTAACTCGACTTTGTTACTTAGGTAGTACTTTAGTCAGACATGATCCATGTTGTTACTTACTAGACAAAAGGGTTAAGTAACATGTTGGTTGCCTTTTGTAGATGTAGGTGCCAAGCAACGGCCGCTGCCGACCGCACCGGGTCCCGTAGATGAAAAGATATTTCAAAACGCACCCTCAGGCTCGGGTACTTACCTCGCACTATATTAAACTGTCTTCCCCAATGTTGCTTACACTTGCTTACTAACCTATTTCTAATATTTTGCTTGCTCTAATTTTATATTATTAAACTATATTTAGTCTTAAAATTTGCTAAACAAATATATTTACTATTCTAGGATTTACTTGTTGATTCTCTTTCGTTTAATAATAAAACAAAGCTTTAAGTTTTCCTTTTTTGTTTAATTGATCCGATCCAGCAGCTTGTAGACACTCCTCTAGACCATATTCGTGTGTAATACAGATTTATGTAACCAACGTATCGCATGCAGGTCCGAAGCCTGGTCCGCCGCGGAACCTGACAGTGACGGAAGTCCATAACGGGTTTCTGATCACGTGGCAGCAGCCGCTTGATCGCGCTAACCTCATCCAGTACTACACTATCAAGTACCGCACTGACGCGCAATGGAAAACCCTCAACCGAGGCCAGATCCGCCCTGAAGAAACCAGCTATTTAGGTATATTTTTTTCTACATCAATTAGTTATTAGGCTTCTGGACTATGGCGAAAACTTTGTCCTTAGATGAGTCTCGTGTCTGATAGCTGAACAAGATTGATTGTGTCAAATAAGTTCCTACTATCTGAATATGCATGTTGATAATAATTCTGAACATTGTTCCTTTCTGTAAATCGCGAAAGCTGTCATGTTTCTAAAGTGTGTTTTCAAAATATCAGAGGAAAACGATAAATTTACAATTTAATTTATTTCAGTAAAAAATTTAGTCGGCGGACGCACGTACTATTTCCGAGTGCTGGCTAACTCAGCGACTAGTTACGAAAGCTCAGAAGAAGTGAAATTCCCAGTGCCGGCGCGGGTAAAACATAAAGCGATCACGGCAGGCGTGGTGGGCGGCATTCTGTTCTTCATTGTGGCTATCATCTTGTCAGTGTGCGCTGTGAAGATCTGCAACAAGCGCAAGAGACGCAAGCAGGAGAAAGGTGAGTGCGTTTTGCGAGGGGCGGTCGCTTGCCCGCTACCATGAGCTACTTGCATTACTTTGTAGCTGACGTTTGACTTGCAGGTCCGTATTTTGATATTAGTGCAGAGTTAAGAGTGCTCTTATCGACCCCTATATATGTATAATGTAGGTATTAAAAACTGAAATAACATATGACCGAACTTTCGTTGAACTCTTTTGCTCCGCTATTAGCCTACAACAAGCGACTCTAGATGTAAAATATTGGTGCTAATGTTTTCGACTTGGTAGATTAGCAGAGTGAAGTAGAGTCTTATCAAATTGAGTGAGTGTGGTTTAAACTAGGCAATAGCATTGAATCTACATTTGTGTTGAATTCTTCATTCAGACGGACTATTTCGTAGTATGCCTGGCCCTCAGACGCTAATAAATAATAATGCAAGAAAATTAAATGATGACGTCAGTTACACAGTAATATCACAAGTAGGATAGCTAGTAAAGTAGAGCGACTAGTTCCAACATAGTGTGGCGAAGACAGCCGACTATCCCTGCGTAACTTGCCATATTGTCGGTTACAAACGTTCTTCATTGTTCACTTATTGTTTAGCATTATTTTCCATCTGTTGTGTAAATAAGCTTTTTTGCATGTTTAGTGGTTCAACTTAGAATTGAGTTTTTGTTTATTTTGTAGAAACTAGTTTGTGTTTTCGTAGTGGTAAATGGCTAAGTATTACTAATGTTTTTTGTTATTTTTTATTTATTTATAAAGGACCATTGACAAAGGATTAAAGACCATGCATTAAAAGCATGTTTGTTTACCTCAACGATGCAAAGAAATCCCTACTAAGCAGTTTAATAATTAGAACAATAATAAGTACTTTAGTCAATGTGAATGGTTCTTTGATATCCAACGTTTTCCCGTCTACAAAAAGCTCACTAACATTAATGTTAAATGACAAATTCTTGCACGACATGCAATTGATTGTACATATATGATTAGTTATGTTTTGTAAATTTATGGTTCACTATCTATCACATCGCGACACTCATTGCTATTAACGGGATTAATTATTTTAATTTGCCTTTCTCGATATGGTTCAGAACTAAGCAGAAATCCGATACTGAAAACAAAAAGCATAATAAGTGCAAAAAGTAATAACTTAACAAGTGGCAGTTTTCTGTCGCGGATTGATGCTATTTGACAATATGGTGGGTGGTGGTGATGTGTTGAGGGTTCGACGATTGGTTGTGGAGGTGGTGGGCAGCGGCCGCGGAAAATGGGGCGCGGATGATGACAGTCGACACTACGTTAATGTTCAGAAATTATCCGCTTGCAGCATACAACATGGTAGCCGCGCGATTGACCGACCTCCGCGCAGCTGACAGCACTCAAGTGCCTTTTAAGAAGTGAGTATATATGCAATTTCATAGCAATCATAAATATCGTCCACGAAGAGGCCAAACTAAAAATACTTTTATCGTTTTCCATCGCCGCTTAAAATCAGGAAGTCAGGTTAGTTTTCCAAAATTAGCTCAGTAATTATTTCATATGATTTAATTAACTATTATTTAATAAAATGTAGTTATTTTTAGGTATAAGCAAAATTAAAAAAGTAATGTACTTTACTTATTCTCTTGACCTTATGTTTCCAGATTTAGAGAAAGCGGAATATCGAGTTTAGTGCAGTGTTTAAAATTTACGGCGAACTGGGTGTGGCCGGCGTCGCGATGCGGCGGAGAACCACAGTACTGGGCGTCGGTGTCTGTGCGCGCGTCACCTGTGCCCACACCTTCGGAGGGGTCTGCTGCGCCGTCGCCTACGCCTTCGTCGTCGGACGACGGCGGCTTCCTTCCACGACTTCGCGCACCGCTGCATCCTGCCGCCGCACCGCCTCTGTTCCGCGCGTCGTCACCTGCCTTGACGTTGCATTGGCCTCCTTGGCCACCGTGGCCTCCCTGGGCGGCAGCCTGGACACCGTGGTCGCCGCTGCATGTCTCCGACCTCAGCTCCGTGCCTTTTCCGAGCTCTGCGGATGGTTCTTTTCCTACGCCGCCTTCTCCGTTCCGACTACGTTCCCTACCCCACTCCTCGCTGCCGCTACGATCTGCCGGCGCTTTCATGAGATCTCGGGCTCGACCCGTACCGCGTCACGGGCGACCTCGTGCTATCTCGGAATTGCCACCCCCGCCGCATGAGGCTTCGCCGGAAAGTCGTTCGTCGTCAAGTGGATTCGGTAGTAAGAATGCGTCGTCTTCACAACATAACCGCAGTAGTCGCACGGGCAGTTTGGCGGAGTGGCGACCGCCCCCTTACCGACCGCCGCCACCGGCGCCACCGCCGCGGCCAGGGTCGGGCGAAGCGGTGGATGCGGGTTCAGTGGACGTTCATTATGAGTGGGACCGCGAAACACGAACACCGACGCCGTCAACGCCGGAGCGATTGAGAACTCGGCAGTCGCGTGACGACGTTGAGGCGCGCGTACGAGCAATGAAAGAAGAGTTCCTCGAGTTTCGAAAACGGCAAGCGCTGCGGCGCCGCTCGCCGGAACCTTTGGGCCCTCCACCGCCGATGTCGTCGCTGGGCACGCTTACGCCCTTATCGCCACTCGCAACCTCCGCGCCCGCAGAAACAGTCTGCTGATAACAGATTTATGAGTCAGGTATTGAAACTCCATGATTATTCATCGCATAAGTATCTTAGAGCGAGAATTTGGCTCGCCTTCCCACCGAAACCTGGAAAAAAGGATTTTTTGATACTTAATTACTTATATTAAATGCTAGAGACCGCGGTAAAAGTCGAGTTTACTTCGGTCATTATATTTGTAAGTATGTATTTAAGTACCTGGGACTGCTGACGAGGTTTAGGTACACGATAAATACTTCCAACAACTTTTATAAATCAGTACAGATATGTATAAGCACACGCCTTCGAAATGTACGAAATAGAAGTAATATTCCGAAGTAAGCGTGACTTGATAAGTTCACTGTTCACGTAGAAATCCCACCGACCGCCAGCGCAGTGGTACGGCGGCGCGCGGCGGTCACCATATTGATACATACTTAGAAATTGTGAGTCCAGTCATTGTTGACTGTAATAATAATAAAAATGTATGTATAAAAAGTGGATGCCGTGGCGTTTTGTCGTCGCATTGCCTACTGTCCTAAACTCATATGTCAATTAAACTCCTATAGCACTCTTATATCTAGTATTTGAACTTTTGAAACGAAATTAAAACTGATTTATCTACTAATTTACCTTAGATTTTTAAATTACTTCGAAATTAATACAATTCAGGTACCTGTATTTTAACAATATGTGCCATAAGCAGATCAGTAAAGGAGAATGTTTGGTTGTACAAGGCCCCACTTATGTAGACGGCAGGCAGGCAGTGCGGGAACTCGTTCACCTAAACGCTTTAGGTATGAGCGGGGAAGCATCCACGACACCGCTCATACCAACATTATAATATTGTAGTTATTATTGTAACTAATTACGAATAACGACTTACTAAAGGGTCGCACATACTCGGCGCTCGACTGACCGACTGAAGGGAAATAGATACTGATAGTACCGAGTAACACTGTCCAGCGCCGGGTGTTTGCGGCTCTTTAAAATATACAACAAAATAATCATAAGTAGAGTTTTAGATATAACGAGTAGGACGGCAAGAACGTATAAAATGTAATTCGTTTGGTTTTTAAAAAATTGTTTTTCAAGTACAAATTTATTATTTTTTATTGTTTGTGTAAGACCTATCTCATAATAATTTTAAAAAATGTACATATGTAAAAACAAAATAGATATTATCATATACACTTATTTATTTAGGTATGGTATGTATGTTTGAGGTTCTGAAGAACTTTTTGTCAATGCTTATGAGGCACTTGACACGGCCAGACTATCAATTGTTTATTTTACTTTCGTTCAATTGTCAGATACTTTATCATACGTATTGAATCGACTAAGGCGCGATCAGTGGCGCACAGCGCTCCGTGAAGAGGATGGCAAGTGTCAATGGCCAAAGTAATTGCAAAAGTTCAGTCAATTGTTTTGTACGTTTCTATCCATAATTATTATGCATTTTTTGACTGATGTGTTATTTCCACGTGTTTTATTTTCGACTGAGGCACTTTGTAGGTAATTCTGTTGTTTAATTATTTTTATTTTATAGCTGTCGGTTCCTGGAGCGATCCCACCTATAGATGACCAGTCAATGTGAAGACTGTTTAGTGTTATTTGTTATTAGTTTTATTTATCGTACGAAACTTCTCTGAGATATCCTTGCATGCACAATGCACATTTGTACTTATTGTTTGTGATGCTGATTGTTTTCAATTTGAACTACAAGTTAAGAACCTCCTTAAGTAAGTATAAAAATGTACGCTTTAAAGAAATTGAAAAATAAATTACTCATAACAAATAGATAGGTAGGTGTGGTAAGGTGTAGTAATGTATGAGCGTGCATGGAAGCGTCAGGGCGCGCGCGGGGCGCGGAGCAAGGCACTTTGCCAGGCCCGAGGCCGCCGTCGGCGCGCGGTCCGCGTGCGGCCAAGGACAGCAAATAAGCGCATCATTTAGTTCACTGCCGACGATTAGAGTTAAGCTACGTATAACGACACACATTAGCTCTTTGTTTTTATCATTTTCTTACATGTTCTCTAGATAGCTACCGCCATAGCGTTACACTTAGTATGTTAGGGTCGATGATTCGTGCAATAAATTATCCACTGTTCAATATAATTAATTATATTTGTTAAAATATATGCTCAATTTTTTCGACTGACCAACTGTAAAAATTATTGGTAAATTTCGATCGTGTAATACGAATTTATGCTGATGCAGGTTCAGATGTTGCCGCCTGCATTAGTCAATAAATGTGACCTGCCTTCCGGGCGTCCTTAAGGCACCACTGATAAGCAGTTCATTACCTACTTAAATCTCAATACCAAAGATTCGATTTGCAGAAGACACCCGACGAGTGTCACGGTACTATGCCCGCACAGGAGGCATGGCTCGAATCTACTTCAACATCGGGTTATACATGTTTTTGTTTAATAATGTAATTTTTTTACATGATTGGTTTTTGTAAATAATATACAATCGATTGATTTGTTGATTTGGCGAGCGATATTCACGACCATTGTATATCGCGCACGAGTAGGTACACAATTAACGACTTACTTACAGTTCGGTAGGTTTATGTAGGTTTTATATGCCTAACTTTCACTTCTACTTCTGTTTTTCTTCAAGCGATAATTCGTAAATAAGAACCAAATTGATTGCAATAAACACGCACTCACGACTAATTGTGAACATTTAACTGTTGTGTACAAAAGTAAGAATCAAAAATAATAGATATAGCTCAAACCATGTGATATCTAGTCTTTTTCCAATGACTTATCCTTCCTTTACTAATTAAAATATTGCAGTAGTGATAATAAAGGCGAATTATATTTGATCGCAATACGAAGTAGTAGGTACCTACTTCAAAATAGAAGTCAGTCGATACTTCGCTAGACTATCAAAGGCCGGCACACGGCGCGCGTAGTGCCAGCGTAGGCGGCCAGGCGCGCGTGTTGCAGCACCGTAACTGAAGCACTCGCCGGTCGCGACTGCCTTCACGCATGCAAAGCACAGGTCTACGACTACTTATATTTATTTATACATAAACGACACGAAAACAAAATTAAGGCGATATAGCATTTCGAAACATAGCCTAACGTCACTCGACATTTTCTATAGACTAAAATGAAAAAGATAGCAATATAATAGATTAATGTAACTAATTCGATATATCAGTTTGTATAAACGAAAGTAAGTGAATGAAGTTAATTGCACATTGGCAGATAGTATTGCGGTGAAACAGGGGCACCCAAAGTAAAAACTTAAGGCAATGCACAATATCTCAGCACAATGATAACGTATCGAATATTACTCAAGTATCATACTCGTACAGCTGCACTTTACAACAATCCACGATGAGTTCGCCTCGATTGGAAACAAATTTGCACAAACCACTTTTTATAACTCGAAATATCCATTGATTTTCATTTTTAGAATATTTTTAGTTATAAGTGTTGAGATCATGTGTTTACTGTGTAAGCACAAAAGGATTCAATTCAAAAAGAATAAAAATACAATAACGTTGCTATGATTATTGACTTGTATTAATTTCTTCCAGTCCAACCCTTAAATATGCGATAATTGTCACGACGTAATTAGACTAACTGCGTGTCGGCGCTGTGAAGTTTTATCAGCGTTATGAATATACATTTACACATATTTTATGAAATATAGTGAATAATTCATAGGATGATAAAGATAACACCTCTACTGCTAAGCCGGTTATTTAGCGGTCTAATGAATTAATTACGAAGTAGTACATACAGAGAGAATATAAATGACATGTGTTTTCTGGTATAAAGACAACTACGAACCCAAGTTCGAACTAAGCATGGATTTGGTAGTAAAACGCGGACATAATTATGACAACGAACAATAACACAACGAACCTCAAAATGGTTTTAAATATTGGTACAAAACAGAACCACTTCAATACAATTGTATATTGAGCTATTCCACTGATCCCTACCAGCTGTCCCCCCTGGTGGGAACAAGTGGATTTTTTTCCACTCTTCCCTACCATACCATCACTACTTGCGATAAGTGGAATTTTATTTCCACATTACCTCTGTAAGTATACTTACTATATTAATAGAGCACAGAACTTGAACAAATACAGCAACAATAGGTACCTAACATAATAAACCACACTTCTAAATGTGGGTTTACTCGGAAAATTATACAACCAATTAACTTAGTAGCATCAAAGGAAACGTGTGCGTTTTGTTGAACACGATTATGGTTATTTATCTTTAGTGATAGCTTAGCATCACCATACCTACAATTAAAAGAGACCAACACGCAACTATGCATTTCGTGCTTCGAACACGTTCTAGAGATGTTTTTTACAAAACAAATTTCTGGGGGCGTCGTTTTTCTATATGGTAAGAAAACTTTGTATTACGAGGGACAGATAAGATCATAAAACATTACTTACTGGTTTCCTATACACACAGATAGTCAAGAATAAATACACTTTAGACAATAACAGTTTCCCAAAGTGGTCCCTACCGCCAAAGTAGGCGCTGAAGAGTCCTAGGGTACCTAGTGGCCTCGGCAGCAATTGGGGGGGCGTTGATGCTACCACGGAGCGCTACCGCATTTCAAAAAGAAAGCTTGAATTATCTATATAAACTGTACTACAAAAATACATTTTTTTTTCCTGGTGATCTTTTGTGTTAAGTCATTATAAAAACACGTGTTTTCGTTTATTTTTTTGTGGTGGTGGGCGTTGAAATTTTTTTATCTTGTTTAAGTGGGCGGTGAGCATTGACTTACAATTATATGGACGTCGGATCCGCGCTAAAAAGTGTCCGAACTTATAGGGCTTTAAAATTGTATGCAGAGCGTCATTCACGCTTTAGTCTTCGTTTATTTGACTGACAGCGAAGCAAGCAAAATTAGACAGTACTGCGATGACATTACAATTTAAATTCAACGTTTTAGCTTTTTCATATTCCTTTACATGTCACTATGTTTAAATAGGTTGACTTGGGACATTTTTTTCGTGGTTTTTGTATTAGACCCGTCGTCCATTTATTTGTTAGTCAATGGCGGTGAGTCAAAAAGTTTTGGGAACCTATGCTTTAGACCGATCTTTTGATTAGCGGCGTATCTACAGTTAAATTTTAATCTTGTGTCAAGCTTAACGTACTCTTGATCCTGTCCTAATACCATTGTTAAATAAATTATATATAAGTAAGTACATTGAATAAATTATATATCAAATTTTTAGCAATCTGGACGACAATGTTATGTGATGAAAGTAACGATGAAGACGATATGGAATGGTTAGATTTCTATGCTGAAAATGGAACTATTTACATCTTGAACTTCTCTACAATACCTGATGAAGGCAGGGGAATGTTCTTTGGAAGTGCATATTTCAGTTTATACACTCGGTAAGTTTCTCTACGTACGACATGTACTTATAACATATCAAGATAATAAGCGCCAAGCACAAAAAATATTGCTTAAAATATATTTATTAAATAACGTAATGTTTCGGGCAATAAAAAAATATGTTTTTACAATATTGTTATTTGCTGTTCTCTCTTACTGGATCTCTAAAAAATATTAAAGTCCGAAAAAAATTAATTTATTAACAAAATTGCACTTTTATAGAAATAATCCAACATATCCAGAAATGTTAGATGTTCCAGAGGACGGTGGCCCTATAAACAGTTCTTATTACAACGCTAACAACAACTTAAAAGTTATCACACACGGCTGGATTTCGAGTGATAAAACAGAATGGCTTCAGAATATCAGGGATAACTATCTGCAGACACACGATTATAACGTCATTACAGTAGACTGGAGCGAAATCGCTGCAAACCCCAGTTACGTGTGGCCTGCACTTAGCACCAGATACGTGGGTAAACGAGTCGCTAAATTACTGGACTCAATTAAGAAAACTTACAACGTAACGGGCAGAAATATGCACTTAATCGGACATAGTTTGGGGGCACAAGTTATGGGCTACGCAGGAATGTTCTCAGAGCAACCAATAAGCAGGGTGACAGGTATGGTTTTTAAATCTAAAGTTCCCTAAAGCATTTAAAACATTTATTTTCACACACATAACAAAATAATAATGATTTATAGAAATTAGAATAAAAAAAATTATGGAACATACAAAAATAATTATAATTAAAAATATATATGTAAAATCAAAATAAAAGGAATGAAGTATGTATGTGATGGACACAAGCTCAGGAAAATGTTGAAATCATTTTGCAATGATTTTAACTCGACGCAGCCAAGGAGCTGCCTTGGCTGCTACGTGGTCAATCACACAAATCACACAAATCGCAAACAAACATCAAATGAAGATATCCAAAATACTAATAATAATGATAATATAATAATTTTTTAGACCTTGGGAGAAGCGAGTCTAAAATATATATATAAATAAAGATAATAAACAAATTAAAATAATGATGATAATAATAATAGACCATTCGTAGGGATTTACTAAAGCTTTATTAAATAGGACTGGATCCTGCACGACCGCTTTTCGAGTTTCCGTACATGCCATCAAGTTGTCGTTTAGAAAAAAGCGACGCAGAGTTCGTAGATATTATTCACACATGCGGAGGAGTGTACGGCTACCGAATGAGTCACGGACACGCTGACTTTTATCCAAATGGCGGTCGCCCTGCGCAACCTGGATGTGATGGACCTCGGCCAATGATTCGTAAGCTCTTTCTCAGTGTCATTCTGGTGTTTGACTGACAATAACTTATTTATAGCGTGTAATTCATTCGTGAAGTTCAAAAATATACATAATATGTTAAGTGCGAGAATCTGTCTCTATTTACGAGACTGCTTTACTACTTACCATACTAAGGGTCCTATTCTAGAATTCTACTCAATGCTCAAGTCAGGATATGAGTATGGTTTAAAGCACTCGAAATCATACTCAAGTCCCTGCCATTAGGGTCGCATTTCCAGTGCTTGTGTTGCCAGTGCAATCCTGACTTGAGTATTGAATAGAGTTCTAGAATACGACCCTTAGGTAGAACTCTACTCAATGCTCAAGTCAGGATTTCAGCAGACTTGAGTATGATTTCAAGCACTGGAAATACGAACCTAATGGCAAGGACTTGAGTTTGATTTCTAGTGCTTTGAATCATACTCAAGTCCTGACTTGAGCATTGAGTAGAGTTCTAGAATACGACCCCACCTGCTAGACTTGTGCCTGATCGGTCCTTAGCGGAAGCGATCCTAGTTAGTTCAATCGGTCAACTGAACTAGGTCGGTCTTCTAGTCATTTAGTTCCTTAGTTAGTTAGTTCGTCTTGTCCTGGCTCGGACATTAAACGAAAACGCTCCAAACTAGTAATTTTATTCACACGAACTACTACGGACTTCTAGTATTATGAGGTCAATACTACACTGTACTAAATATTTAAAAATACATTTTGTATGGAATCGGTACTATTTGATTTTCCTTCATATTTTACAGGTTTAAAGACTGTCATTTTAACTAAATATCCTTTAATTATATTTTTATTGAATTGATATTCAATTATTTTTTGTGAAATTACTCCACTAGTTTGTTATAATTATTAATACAAAGATCGAACACTCAGAAAAAAATTCCTTCCGGTCGGATTCGAACCGACGCACAGTGTCTCGTCTAGTACAAGCTAGCGGGACAAAATTATTTTTTGAGTTATTTTAAATGTTTATGTATATTGCAGGTATATTATGCTATTTTAAGCTAAAAAAAGTGGAAACCTGTGTACTGTAATGTGTGTAGACCCTACAATGGTGATGGCCTCACCACCTGATACGTAAGGTCACCAATTACGCGGTGAAATGTGGGTGATAGCTCTGTAATTAGGTGCCTCTGCCTTCTTCACATGCCTGTAAGGCACGAGGGTATTATTCTTTTATTATATAAAAGTATTAGGACATAGAAAAACTAAAAATAAATTTAAAAAATCATAAATGTTTATTACACGTTACCAATGACGTGTTCGGTAGGTATTTATTTACAATTTTTATATTTACACAATTAAATTAAATCAACGAACAATACAATAACAACAAAAATTATATTTCAGTAGTAAGTAACAAAATTGACACGTATAATAATAAATGTGCATTATATAACTAAAACACCTATAGTAAAATACTCTACAACTACATATTAAAACTATATTAAAAATAATTAATTACAATAATAAACAAGACCTAATTTATCTAATCTAAATGTAAAGACATTACAAAAATATTTAATGCTCATCGTCAGATGATTCCTCATCATTACTTTCCAATTCGGTAGAGTCTTACAACACGTAATCCTCCTCATCAATTTCGCGAACTGATGATAACTGGGATGGTAAGGAAGGTGGTATAATCAACTGCAGAACCTCCGCTGGCAAAGCAGTAATCTTCTTTCTCGGTAACTCTCTAAATGTGTTGATTACAGGATCGGACGTACTTAGGAGCATTCTCAAAAGATCTGTATTCGTGGCAATACGTGACCGCTTCCTAGTGTGTCGCTCACGGAATCTACGGCAATCTTTATTTCTTGCCTCCTGGATTTCTTCGGAAAGCTGACCAATAGGAAGAAGGCGAAAGCGAAAGAATTTAATTACTTCCGTACTGTGTACAAGAATATTATGCACAGGAACGGGCATGGTGTACCACGAATACAGATCAAGGTGTAATTTTCTTGTTTCAACGCAAAACTTTTCGAATTCTAAACAATTTATGTCGTATCCCGATGACAAAGGTCTTAAAATTATATGAAATCTTTTAATAAGACTCCAATAAGACGTCCAATCCTGTTATTTCGCTACTCAATTCAGCATTAGAAAAATATCTACGTGCTGTGTTTCCATCATTCGAGTTGCCATAACCAGGTTTTGGTTTATCCACTATAAGACCCATACGATCTTTAAACATTTTTTGGATCTCTTTTGAGCGGTGCTTTACTACAGCTTTATCGTTGTCTCCTCTGACTTGCCACTTTTTTATTTCTAAACGATAGGTAATGTGAAGCATACATTCAAAAGAGCGGATCCATGCATGAAAAGTGGATAAACCAATTTCATAGCGCTTTTTATTGCTGGGATAGTTCCTCGACTCCTCGTTCATAGTAGACGGAGTAGCACCGCAAATATAACACTTTTGTGTTGAACGTGTGTCCGTTAAAGCGTTACACACTTTACCAACAGTCATCGTCAACAATAAGTCGTGTGTAACAAAGATTTGAGATCCATCAACGTTACATAATGTTGGAAGAAGCTGACTTATTTCATGTAAAATTTTAGTAGTTTCTTCTTTCGTAAACTCATTTATCTCCTTGGCAAAAATAAACCTGATAGGACGGCAATGTAAGGTTGAGGAAGGTTGTGGATTTTGCCAGATCACAGTTTCTCCGTCATGAAGTCTCAAGGGGACAAATGAGTATACAAACAGAAATTCGTCTGTAGTGCTGGTGTTCTCAAACCTCTGCTTATAAGTACTATGCCCCGAACTCCCATCACAACCCCATTTGCTTACCAACGTATACGATGAACGAGGTAACACACTTGTAAAAACTTCACATTGAGCTTCAACTAATCGTTCGGCCGTTTTATTCAAAATCGCCTGAAGTTTAATTTCGGTTCGAGATTCAGTGACCGTAATGTGTTCGTCAGAAGGACAAGAAACTTTGGATTTACCTAAACTGTAGAATGATGGATACACTTGATGTCCCGCCTTCATTGACCACTTCCTAGTTTGCGTATATGAGTGACAAGTAAATTTGGAGTCTACGTAATAAGCTAACGCTTCGTCCGGAGTTAACTGCCTACTTTGTTCAGAACACTTATTCTTTTTTGGACTTTCACCGACTCTTTAATTTGTTTAGCAACACTTCGGTGCCCTTCCTTCCTAGTAGCTAATTCCGCGGCTATAGTTAGCTCACTTGCACTCCGAATTTCTAAAAGATCTTCTACTCTAGGTCTCTTCGTGTTCAGCGATGAGTCGTCAAAAGACCCAAGTCCTAATGATGTTGAAGGCTGCGGCTGGTGTGTACATACATTCATTACTATTCCCGAAGCCTCGATCCAATTTTTATGTTTGGTTAAAAACACTTCTTTATTAGATTAAATGATGTCCACTTTTCATTTAGTATCGCGGAAAGTCTTGAGATTTTCATCTTCAGGTTTTTCAGTGATTCGTCAGAAGCGTTAGTGATATTATGTTTCTCACATATATAATCAAAAATGCGACTGTTTCTTGCCTTTTTCTCATGCCTCAGCCATTCTTCGAAAAATTCCAATTTCGTCAGAGTAATGACACGTTCTGAAAAAAGGACAATAATTTACTTGCGGGGCTTTTCGGGCTCTGAAATATATATGAATCTATGCCTGAAAGTTGTAAATATAATATACAGAAGTATCTAGATTTAAATATTTAAATATAAAAAATTGCAGTCCTTTAAAAAGTTAACAAATAAGGAGAAATATGCAGGATTTTTTTAAAGATATTCAAACTTATATTGCACCAAAAATATACATGACTTTTTAAAAAAAAATACGTGGTTATAGTGTACATACCGTCAACAGAATATTCCATCACAAAAAACACTAAAAAAAAAATTGAATATCAATTCAATAAAAATATAATTAATACAGTGAATAGCGACATCTCTCGCCAGCTGTAAAGGCACTAACTGGGTGATAAATCTTTCATTTAATACGAGTGCGATTTCGGCAAGGAGAGCATTGAGTTGGCAATTCTTTAACTTAAAGTGAGTTACAACTGCGATTGTCTTTCTTATATTTCATAAATAAGTTATGTTTTGTTTTATACCTTAAATAGTGTATCCAAGTGTTTTTTATTATATTTCTATTTGTGAGGATCTATAATTGGCTCTCAGTCGTTACTATTGTCATTTAAGTTAGTTTTAAGCTGTTGATCTTCCTGTTAGATAAATAAATAAATAAATAGATTTCTCATAGATGGCGCTACGACTAAATAGTCGTTGAAAAACCAAATACAAAGACACGACGCAAGCACATAGAAAAAATCGTGAGGGCCGTTGGTTCGTTCCGTGGCTTAGTTGGTATAGCGTCTACCACGGTATGCAAGAAGACGTCGGTTCGAATCCGACCGAATCGAAGGAATTTTTTTCTGAGTGTTCGATCTTTGCATTAATAATTATAAATAGCCTTTTTTTACAAAATATTAATTTTAGTTTAAATGGTGTGTTTAAAAATCAATATTTATGTACAACTATTTCATATACTTGTACATATAGGTTGATATTATACATACAGATACCTACCAAAAAATGTTACTTTTTGCAAGCTTGTATATAGGTGTTATACATAATATAGATACGAGCTGGGAACGTTCAATCGTGCAACCCACTTGAACTAAAAGTAGTGAAAGATCGCTATTTGTCCCGCTCGCACTTCTGTATAAAAGACAGGTGAACTCGTACTGAACTAAAAAGAACGATGAACTATTAAAACCGTGCAAGACGAACTAGTTCATGTAGGTCAGTTTAGGGAATATATTCTTAATAGTTCGTCGTTCCCGAACTCAAGCCTACTACCTGTCACATCGCTAGTTCTTCAAATGAGGGAACAATGATACACTTTATTGATTGCACATTTTAATCGATAATTAAGCACAAAAACTTGCTAAGGGCCAAGGTTGTAAACATTAGACTTACTCAATGACCGTAAATAATGAAAATGAGACGGAATGCAAACAATGAAATAAATTATTTTCATTTTCTCCTTTTTTCTATTATGTCTTCCTTTTTTTTCTATTAGGTGCGGATCTAATCGATTCTGTAAGTGAATTGACAATTGAATAAAGTAATAAACGAATTAATAATTAATAAAAAGAATCGCTATTTGTCACAATCGTGCAATCGTATAAACATATATATAATATATATATATAAACTTGACATAATAACGAATGAAATGTCGTGTTATAAATTTATTACAATTATTATTTACTTCCTGTAAATTAAAAAACCCAACCCAATATTATGTTCTTAGAACTTATAGGTAGGATTATGATCATCTAAAACAAAACAAAAAGAAATGTTTTTTTAAACGTGACATAGACGAACAGTCGCAATATAACTAAATTTTGTGATTAGACCTTAGCATCTGACGATGTTAGTCGAAAATGCAATAATTATACGTAACAGAAATTTCGATCTGCTAGTCACTCACCATACTAGACACGTACCGTACTGTATCTAAATATCTATGAAAACCTGTTAAGGCAATTAATTCATATGATTACGTAATGTTTTGTTTTAATATTTAGCTAATTGCAACTGAAAAGGAAGGGAGAAGGAAATTCAAAATACTTTAGCGTAAATCGGCGACATTTCGTTTTCGATTAATTTTCTACTTATATCTATGATGCTTCTAAAATGTATCTATGAATGAATGGTTTATGAATTAACTATTGGTAACTAAGCGTAAGATTTGCAATAGTCCTGTAATGCAGGTATATCGATTTAGAAATAAACTAATTTAAAGCTTTTTAGAAGCTTGTATTTTTTTTTTGTAATTTCGAACCGAAGGGTCTAAATCAAGTACACGTTTAATCTATATTACATTTATATGACTATATCGTACTGTTGCACCCTGTACATATTAACATTTATAGCAGCGATCTGACAGAATGTTTCCTTGAAATCGCGAAAATACTACTAACTTGATTGTTCTCCATTAATTCATGCAAGTATTAGAGTTAACGACTAATAAGGTGCCACCAAATTAGACGCCAGTAGAAGCACTCCAGTGGTGCGACCATAGTTATGCGCGACTATGGCATGACAAGAAGTGTGCGTAATTTTTAGTTCACTAATTGTAACTGCAAAAGTGGCGCACGCGAATCACGACAGTGGCGCTGCAACAACGCTTCTAAATATTGTGTGAAAATTATTAGTGCCGTAAACTACCATATCAGTTTGTACTTTTATTCCTGCCAACTTCAACCTGCTTATTGTTTTATAACCGAGAGATTTCAACGTGTTTTTATGTGACAGGGAAGCGATACATACACAAGCGGAAAACGTGATGAAAATTGGTAATTATTAATTACAGTGAAATTGCATTAACTATTACTGTCATACAAGTGGAGTTGTTCACTAATGAAGTTGTTGAACGTTACTACTTCGACTCAAATATTGCCTCTGTGTAATCGCCCGACAGGAAGTGAGAATTTTCATCAATTGTACGCATTGTTATCTAAGATTTTTAAAACGCGCCTATTTTCTGTGTCCAGGGAGAAATCGATTAGATCTCATGAAACTAAATTAAGGTGTTATGAGCCGAGCCCGAGTACAAATTTCTTTATATGTAGAACAAGCGATGTAACGGAGCGAATGTCATTTAATTAGGTACATACATAATTAATACATTCCGATTCAAACGCGGATTAAAAAAATATTTCGAGCGCGATACGTATTAAAATCTATAATGGCAACACGTTCTCCTGTAGCCAAAGTTTATAGATGTTTTGACTGAAAAATACTTATGTACTTTGCAGAAGGCTGTAGTCATGGGAAGGCATGTGAATATTACGGAGAATCTATAGTGGCAAACAGATTCACTGCATATCCTTGCGACAGTTACAAGAACTTTCAGGAAGGCAAATGCAAAAATGGCTCTACCAAAATGGGAGATCCGGCCTCTCCAGAAAGCCGAGGCGATTATTACCTGCACACGGAGGACAGCCAGGAAAACGAACAAAACGATGAAAATTGCAACTAAGCAATTAAAGGAATAAAGCACAAGTAAAACTAGTTTAACCATTTATTGTTATATGAATTTACAACTAGAATAAAATGGTACCATTAAACTAATGTTAAATAAAACCAACATGTCATTTGTAGATATCACATATATTGTCAATCAGTTTTAGTTTCAATCACATTTGATACACTTCCTACGAATGTAACATAATTCGTAACAGTTACTAAGTATTGAAAAGTGAAACTTTCAATCATCAAATTAGGTTATATTTACAAATCATAAAAAATATTCTACGACGTAATCTGAAACAAACAAAAATACATATCAACTCTATTTTTGAGACAAAAATAGGTGCGTACATATTACTTACTTAATTTAATCAGTTTAAAAAGTTATGCTTCATTGTCCATCAGTCGGGAAAAGAAGACAAAAATATAATGAATCATCATTTTCTGTAACGTTTACTACGCAATAAGCACATTTAATTGAAATGAAATGGGATAGGCATCTGTCTATTTACGTACCTACATTTGTGAATGTTTAGTAAGAATACCCATCGCTAACGTTGAAGTAAAACATCGTGACGAAACCTGCACGTTAGAAAAGGTTGCAACCTTTGGAAAACGAACTGTGGCCTAGGCCTAAGCCTGTATGATGATAACAATTGTAGTAGACTATAGTTTAATACAATTCACTTCGTTTTATTTTAATGGTGATGATGTTGGTAATGTAACATAATAAACTTACCAATAACATTTTGCACGCGTCACCATTGAGAGTAACTGTAAGTATAGACAAAGTTATGTTTATTATGTATTATAAAGTTAACATATCTACTTTATTTGTAAGTTCTGGCAACGTTGTGACGTAAATTTTAACAAATATATTTTACATATGAAAATATAGAATATACGAGAAATAAACTTAGTAGACATGACTAACTGAATCTAAGACAAACTGGAATTTATGACACAGATAACATTCAAGACTAAGGGAGATTTATAACAATAATTATAGTGATAATGTTAAGTGAGCCATGACGATAACAATAACAACACTTAAGTATAGTTTGACAAAATGGAAGATTTTTAGATTATCTGCATAACGCTTGGATTATCTCAACGAATTTTAACGTCGATAAATAATTAGTTTTATATCAATTGTATGCAAAATAATCCACAGTAAAGGCTCCGAAATGTAAGCAAATAATAAAGGCTCTCAAATATAATTGACCTTTGATTAGTTCTTTTTCATTGTGTACAAAATGTATAAAAATTGGTTTCCACCGACGAAAATCTCTTGAACTGCAACCGCAATCACGAACACAAATCTGTAAATAAATAATGTTGCATAAATATGTATAACTAGTATGACGAATTGTTCAAAAATTTACATAAATTTTATCAGATAAAAAAATGTGCGTCATTATGCATCTGTCGGGAAAAGAAGACAAAAAATTATTAAAATCATCATCGTGTGTCAGTAGCGCCACGCCTACTGAAAATGTAGCCGTATAAATTCTCCCAGACATAGAGCACTATTTTGTCACGGAGTTGCTCCCTGTCGCAAAATAGCAATCTCTGATCGGAAGCAATAGAAAGGCAACGAAATTTTACGGTACAGTACAGTGGCACTAAATGTAGTGAATCGGTTTAATTTTATAATATATGTATGTATATATCGTGAAGTCGAAAATAATGTTGACTTTCCAAAACATTTTTAAAAATTTCAAATACCTGACGAGTCTGACCGTAACATCTTATCTCTGGCAGTAAAGGTAGGTGATATATAAGATTACCATCTGCAAAGAAAGAAAAGCTTTTGAAATGAGAAAATACATTAGTATCGTTTAATAACATAGTTGATTTAGGAGACCGATGAAAATAATACTACGACGACGACGTACATAGAAGTCTAATATATTCACCATAAACTCGTGAGGCCATATAGTTTCATGAGCTTTATTTATTATTGTGTAATAATTACCTTATATGAATCCAGACCATATCTAGCTAAAAACGGACACCTGCAAACATAAAAAACAATATTAGCAATGTGAATTTAATGATAATAGAGCTGCCACCTGAAAATGTTTAAACGGAAAGAAACAAAATTCAATATATTAAATTGTAGGTAATGTTACGGTTCCTAGAAAGAAATGTTGCATTGAAAATTTAAATGTCGTTTAATTATAGTTTAATGTGCATGATTTTTTGTTTCATAGGCGTCATAAAGCAAATATGTCAAGTAAAAAAGAAGTAACTTTGCACAAAATGTAACTTAACAAGTGAGTAGAAGTATGTGAAGTGCTTCCTGTCCAAGCAGACAATGAAACATTAAGGAATATTTATTTATTAAATTAAAAAAACACATATAATTCAACGTATTTTATTAATTACGAATTGTAAATATTGCGCTGATGATGGATACTGTGAGGGATGACAATCGCATTATTTTAAAAGAAAGCGAACTTGATAGAAACTGGAATATCTCACATTATCACTGTGGACTTCATCTAACAATTCACTACACAATGGTATCAAAGAAATCAAACGGAGAAATTTTAAACGAGACTTCTTGAAGTAATGAACTGTATCAAACTTTTTACGTCACACTAATGCTCCCGTGCTTACGATAAGAACAGTAAGTCTATAAGTATTTCAAACATACTGACTGTTAATATTGTAAGAACGGCAGAATGGCATAGTATAAAAAGAGTAAGTAGGGCAACTCCCGCCTATTCGGCGCGTAAATACCTATACTTCGCTCGGAGCGTAGGGTTATTACATTATTATTTTAGTTGTGCCTATAGGTTGAAAACATAATTCGTAAAAAAATAAGAGATCATCGCAGTATTCTCGAGCTATGAACTTTTTTAAATGCTGAAGATACTTTATACCAGTATCGCGGATTCGTATGTTGTTTATGGAGTATGATTATGAAATAGAAAATAAATGTGGAACAATTCTGAATTTGAGGCACCCTTGTTCAAACTACCACAAACGCAACAATGAACGTCTGCTATTTCGTCGTCTAGTATTATGACTTCTTGCAATAAGCCGACGATTTGATGTCAATTTTTAAACGTCGAGTGAGCGCTTTAATTCTATTTCAATCACTTTTTCCTACAATATTTCCTCACAACCTGTTGAGAATGCTTACTCAATAGTAGTTCACAATTGTGTTGGCCCTCGATCTCTTGGATGCCTCTGTACTTGCTCAAAACTGGACAGCACAAGCAATATTAAATATTTAGGTGTCATAATTGACCAACATCTCAATTTCAAACAGCATATAGGGGCGCTAACTTCTAGAGTTCGAAAATTGATTTATGTTTTTAAAAATTTAAGATACTCGGCCAGCAGCGCCCTTCTCAAATCAGTTTATTTAGCCCTTTGTCAATCACTGTTACTTTACTGCGTTACATCCTGGGGCGGTGCACATAAGACCACTCTGATACACCTGGAAAGAGCGCAGAGAGCTGTTCTTAAAGTGATCAACTTTCGTCCTTTCGATTACCCAACCCACAAATTACTAAACGAGTGCGATGTTCTATCTGTTCGGCAACTGTTTATCCTACAAATAATTTTGAAAAAGCACTCAATTACTCCATATGATTACATGACTGTAACTAAGCAAAGACGATACGATCCCTTTTCATCTCGTACACAACTCCGCACAGCACACTCACATAGATTCTTCTATAGATTCTTCTGCTTCCTTGGCACATTCCTTTATTTTAAAATAAATTCTACTTTGCATTACTTTTCATATGAATAAAACTGAATGTAAAAAGACCGTCAAATTTTGGCTTAAGAGTAAAACCTACAATGATACCGAGGACTTGTTGGAAGTTATTTCATAATTTATATTTATATAATAAGTAATGTTTAATTACTTATCTTTTATAAATTATAACTACTTATCTTTTATTTGTTATATTTATAAAATCTTTATTTTTTTAAGCTTTGTTATGAAAAATGCACTATTATGCCTAAAATACAGGTACACATGTACTTAGTTTAGGCATCGCAATTGCACTATTAGGCACTAAGATTAAAATGTTTAATTTTACCATGATTATTTTATATAATTTACATTTTTTTTTTTTGTTTATTACTATTTATTTTAATATTTTATCTTCAATTACATTGTTTTCATTATAATTGTATTAGATTAAGTCATATTGAAATAAATTTATCTTATCTTATTTAATGGCGCGTGAGGCGACTTGAGCTATGCAACGCGCGTGCACCGCGAGATTATGCGAATCTGTGGGTCCATACGCGGCGCGCAACGCGGCTTATACACGTGTAAGGCACAATGCTACGTTTGTATCGAGTTACCATACTTGTCTTATTATATTATGCTAATGGGTCTCCCGTGAAGGGAAGGTATAGTCCATTTAGTTTTAGTAAAGCTTCTTATGATGAAGCTTATTACGAAATGTAACACAATTTATTTTGAGCTTTTCCAAGTTATGTGACAAGTTATGGTTACATACAACACTTCACCGCCATAATAGTAGATTTGACACCTACCTTTTGTTTTAACATACCACCTAAGAATAGCAAACAAGTTTATTTCGTACAGTACCTTTTGCTATTATGTTGATTTGATAAACTTTTTGTGCAAAGTTACGTTATAATAAGTAGAACAATCAATATCACAAGCTTCGCTAAAGCTTCAGCTTTAATTCAGAGTTTTATAATATAAACAAGTCATAAGTCCTGGTTTGCACTTCTTGCAATAAATGAACGCAGCACATATTATAAAGGTATTCGTAGATTTATTGGCATGAAGGAATATAACTTAAAAATAGGAGTAAAATACTCATCTTCATAAAATGGTTAATTATTATATAATAGAGAAATCATCATCGTAACATTAGTTAGGTTTCTGTTGTGCAAATAGTTTAAACATGTTAATAGACTATCTACTTTGTACACTAGGAGTACATTTACAAAAATTATTCGGAAAGTAAAGATTCACAATTTTATTACGCATATTTGTACTCA